GGGGAAAGTTCTCCATTGAAGCTTCTGGGTCAGGAACACAACTCGACGAAGGTACGGCCGTACAGTACTCCACGAGACCTCCAAACCATTTCCAGATCCGCAGCTTCAATTTCGCCGAATTGAAGACCTTGGTCTGCGACGGAGAAGAGGGGTAGGTGGAGGAAGGTGAGGATTGAGGATGGTAAAGTGAGGCCAGGAATCTACGAGCTGAGAACTAGGGAAAGAAGCAAATGGGGAAAGAAAGAAAAGAGAAAAGTTGCAGGTGGTTGAGGGCAGGGAAGATGAACAGAGTTGAGCGCAGGGAAGAAGAAAAGAAAAGAAATAAAAAGAAAAGAAAAGAAATGAAATGGAATGAAAAATGCCATATCAGCCAAGCATGGAATTTTGACCGGAAGTTTTGAAAATACCTGCTAAAAAGAGGATTTGCCATTTTTAAATTAGTTCAAGGGTTTGATTGAGTCTTATTTTAGTTGGGGTGTCTAATTGATTTTTTTGAAAAGTAAGAGGGCTTATTTGATAGTTTTCCCATTAAATTAATATACTTCGTAGTTTGATGTTTTTCCTTTCAAAAAAAACTTTTCCCATTTGTCATGGATAATCTAATTCCTTTGAGTTCTACGCTTACTAATAGCTCGTTTGGTGACCCTGTTTTTCAGGTTATCTGGCTTATCAGCAAAGTTTTTCGTCAAACACGTAACTTTAAAGTATTATTGTGACTGTTTTGGCTGAAATTATTATAAAGGATCATCATAGTTGTTTTTCATATAATCTATTCATTATTTTATATTTAAATTTAATTCTTCATAAATTAGCAAAATCAGTCAATTCAGCCACTTCAGTCATAACTTCATGAATTTCAGCAGAATCGGCCAATATAACGATTTTGATATTATCAAACGCGTCTAAGTTAGATTTATATTTTACTGTCATAATTCATAATCATTTTAATAAACAGTGCAAAATATATCAACTCGGCATTTTAATTTTCTACGTAGTAGTAATCTTATGATTTATGGTTCTCTAATTCTCTATTTCTCTTTGCATTTTTACAAATTCCAATACATTAGTGTTTGCGTTGATCGTTTAATGGTTATGGTGTGCCGTTGGGATTGTTACAGATTGTGTGGTGTTCGTATTATTGTTGTCTACCACAACACTCAAATCCCCTTCAACCTCCATTTCTTCCAACCAACCAAAGGCAAAAAAAAACGGCAAGAAATGGAATAGAATTTTTTGGGCATAATTGCTTCGAATCACAGTAAGCGTGAATGCATCACGGTGTTGTTGGGAGGAGTAGACCGTTGATATTAGATGAAAAAGCAGAGTCGCACAGCCACCGAGAAAATCTATCCGGTCTAACGTTATTGGCCGTATTGGGCGGCGGAGAGATGTCGGCGGTGACTCCCCACCAGACGCGGACCCTTCTGGATGTCATAAAGGACGATCCGAACGGCAGCAAGGAAAACCGGAAAACATGGAAGCATTTCAAGGAAAAGCTCCGGCTGAAGCGTGCCGGCGCCGCCTGGACTTCCACCGTCCCGATCCCTGCCTCCGACGTCCCGATCAATCCGACGAACAACAGGGCGATGATGGCTCGGAGGCTTTCCTCCCGGTTTCCTTCCACGAACCACGGCCCCGACGCTGAATACCCCGCCGAGGAATACAAACCGGAGCTCTCTATGTCCGCCTCGCGGAGAGATCTGAGATCCGCGCCGTCGAGCAGAATGTTGAGTAGGAATCCGAGCCGCGCGGGCGGCCCGACAGATAGGAGCTTCAAATTACAAAGCTCGATGTCAATAAGGAGACCGGCCGAAGGCGGAGATGATGAAATTGATGGAGGCGAGGGAGAAGACGGAGAAAACGAGGAGGGCGGAGGAGGAGAGCAGCCGGTGAGGATGTCGCTGATGGCGTTGCTGGCGGAATCGGAAGGCGGATACATGATGGATGAGGAAGAGGAGGAGGAGGAAGGCGGAGGTTGCGAGGACTACGGCGGCGGGGAATTCCACAATTGCTGTGTGTGTATGGTGAGGCACAAGGGCGAGCCGTTCGAGCCGTGCGGTCACACGTTCTGCAGGCTCTGCTCGAGGGAGCTTTGGGCGGAGAAGGGGAATTGTCCACTCTGCAACAATTTCATACTCGAAATTCTAGACATTTTCTGATCACTTCCAGCCAAATTAAACCCATCTCGTCAATTTTGATTAGTTTTTTTAGATTTGTTTTGTTTGATTTATTTCCTTAATAAATGTACTTCCTATTTCGTTACTGTGTCCTTGTTATTAGTTGAACTTGAAAAAACTGCACAATTCTTAGAGCATCTTTGTATTTCCGATACTCAGTTGTGTGGTGCACGAGGAGGTGCTAAAGGGAGTAGTCTTTGTGAATTGTCAATTTTTTATTTTACTGCATTAACCCTTACTTTATATTTTTATAATAAACCATAGTTACTACGTAGTATGGAGTAATACTTACTACGAGTATTTTAATTTTGAAAAGTACCACCATGAAATTCAAAGACTGTTTTCAAGGATTATTTGGTATCACGATCATTTTTTAGTTATTTTGGCGAATGTTTCGATTTGGAAGCATTATGATAGAAGATTAGGTTTTAAAAATAATTGTACAAATTCATCTCAAATTCAAGATTTGAGATCATTTTTAGCAATACAAATTCATCTAAAAAATTATGATGATTAACTCCAGCGATTTAAAATTTAAACAATTGGCTTCAGGTTTATACAAATTCTTCTCAATTTTTTTATGCCAACAACCTAACAAGGGGTTTCAGGTTTTCTGATTTCTAATTCTCTAAAGGCATATATGCAAATCTTCTTCGTTCAATAGTTCATTAGAGCACCCACTATGGTGAGTTAAGTTGGATCAAAAATAAAAAATGATGGGGGTTAACCCCCACGATAGAAGCTCAACATTTGACCGATCAAGTTGCTAGCTCAAAAATGAAATCTGACACTTTTGTTTTTAATCTAGTCAAGTGGCTCCTTTTGTCCTTGAAAGGGAGTATGAGCGTTTTCTTTTGAACTGTTTTCAGTCCTAGATCAGACCAGATCAGACCGGACCAGACTTGACTTTCGTAATTATAGAATACACAGAGACCAGACGTTTACCAGACCAGACTAGCAAATTTCAGTCCAAAAGAAAACATCCTACGTACGGGTGGAGCAAATGCAAGAGGAGATGAATTCTCCTCCCAAATTTCTAGCCACAAACCGCACCAACTCTTTAATTTAATATTTTATCTATGTAGCACGGAAACTCTCGGGAAAGAGTACGTTTCCCATTTCGGAAACTCTTTGGAAACTCTCCAAATAAGCGTTTTTTGAGCAAAAGTTGACGTTTCCTGATTCATGTTTCCTCATGATTTCCGCGTTTCCGTGCAACACAGTATTTTATGCATTAAATTATCTTATTTTACAAAAAACAATTATACCAAAAAGTCAGATTTTTTTCCTTCTATATATAGACACCAATGAAGGATATGTTTAGTCACTTCGAAATTTACCACTTCTTTCCCTCTTGCATCTAATTTTATCTGTTTTAGAATAATATTATGCGACAAATATGAATTATGGGCATGGACGAATTTGGGGGGGGGGGGGCGACCGCCCCCCTTGGACTTTCAAATTTTTCTACTATATATGTAGTATTTTCATACTTTTATTAGATGTATATGTTTTCGCTCCCCCCCCCCCTTAACTTTTAGTTTCCAACGTTAATATATAGTCTTACATAGTGTAATCCTTAATTGAGGATTTAAAAGAAGTAAAATCTAAAATAATTTAGATAGTTTAAGACTTAGGATGCCTATTATATAAAAATTCCTAGCTTTGTAGTATTTAATTACATTTATTATATAATTAGTACTAAATTTTGTAAGAGATCAAACAATATTAAATACCAGACACACTAGTTAAACAGCTTTTAGATCATGTGAAGTGTATACAAAATATAAATGTTTGTTTGTTGACATTAAATTATACAATTCATTTAGTTCTTACTTTCTAAAAGCAAATTATTGCATAAATAATAAACTTTAACGTATTTTAGTATTAATACAAATATAATATGCACCATATATATGAATTAACAATACTACGTATAATATTATTCTAAAAATAATAATCGCATTCATACTATTGTAATTTTAAGAAAACTTCTCATGACCCATGAACACCCGACCTCCTTGGTAGACAAAAACTACAATTCAAAAACCAATTCTTTATTCAGATAAGATTCATGTGGTTAGATAAGACATAAGGTATTTAAAATGCGTTGATTGACGTGTACCTTTTAAATTTTTTACCTTCAAATAAATTGAGAAAATGTTATATATCATTTTTATTTTCAAATAAATTTCCTTTGATTTGCAATTTATTATGCTTTAATGTATCCATAATTTTTTCAAGAGCATTTACGGTTACAAAATTTAAAGTTATTTTTCCATTGTCTAAACTTAGAATGTAATAGATTTAAACGTCATAGTGCACGTACTAATGAATTCTTTTGAATAAAAATTTACCGTGGAGCTCTACAATAGTGAAAAAAATTCGTCCTGTTGCACTAGCGAAAAATTTTGCCCCGTTGCATTAGCGGAAAAAAACTTGCCATGCTACACTAGCGAAAAAATTTCACCTCCTACACAAACGAAAACTTTTTTGCCCCCTTTGACTCGAAATCCTGGATCCGTCCCTGATTATGGGAGTAACTTTTTTGCCTCCAGCACACCCACATTTGGGCAGTGTTTCTAGCCTTTGAGGTTGTTTCACTTCTTTTGACTCTATTTCATTAATTATTAGCTTCTGATTTTTAGTAGCCTCCTATAGACTAAAATTGCAAAATATCCATCTTGATATCTTACTATATATAAAATGCCTAAGGAAGTTACATGGTCCTATTTCCGTTGAAACAGTGCGGACGGAACTCCCTCTCACACTGCAATGAAACTAACGGTTTGTGGCCGTTGGTGGACGCTCGCGCTCAGCATCTTTTGCGGTCATAGATTGGCGGTTACTGTTTGCTACTGTTCCATTCTGCGGCTGAGGTACTCCTATGTATAATATCTGTTTTGCACGTTTGGCCAGCCCTACGTAATAATCTTCGTATTGCTGAGTTTTTCGCTCCCGCTCTGCCCGCCTGTGAGTCGCCTTCCCTGCTTCTCTTCTGCTTCCCTGCTTGTCTTCTCCTTCCCTGCTTCTCTTTTTTTTTTGCTCAGTTGTGTGTGTTTCTTGGTGCTGTCAGGGTTAGAGAGTTGTGTGTTCCTTAAAATCTTTGTTTGGTAGGGTGTTCCTTCGTTGTTGGTTTGTTGTTGGTTAGTCTTTGATCCTCATCATGTTGTCTTCTCATGCTGGCCCACTTTTTCCGTTCTGGGCTTGCCCCTGTGTTGTGGTTTTGTTTTTTGCCTACTTTCTGCTGTTTGTGTTTTGCCTGCCTTATTGTTTTTTTTTACCTCAAAAATCCACTAGGCTGTACTGCTTTGTTTGAGGTTGCCGGCCCTTGTTAGGGCCTGGGGAGTTTTATATTCATTTTTGTTTGGTTTGCCTTCCTCTTGTTGTGGTGTTTTCCCTGTTGTGGTTGTGGAAGGGTGAGATGTCATGGTGGTTTCCGTTATTTGGTGTGCTGTTACTTGAAATTTTTCCTCCATGTTTGATTATTGTCCCCCGTCCCTTCCCCTTTCTGTGTGGGTGGAGGATCGTATGTTCATATTATGGTGGCATGTTGTTGTTCCCCATAATGATGCATTGTTTATTTGTTCACAAGTGTTTGGAAAGTCTACTTTGCACTCACACCAACCTGCTTTATCTTTCTTGTAATTGGTTTAGCCTGCTTGTTCAACGTTTTGAACTTACAATATCCTCCAGTTGCTTTGTGTTTGTATGATTATCCTGGTTTGTGGTAGTTTTTAACAACAAATACAGAGTAGGGTTCAGTTTTGATTTGGGCCTTGGATTTGTTCATGCTGGCCATCGTGTTCTTGTTTTATTAAATGTGCATAGCGTCTTTCTGTGTCAGTATGCGAATTTGTGTAGTGGTTGTTACAATGGATATTCCGAGTCTTAATCGTGGCAGTGATTTTTCAAGGTTTGTTTGTTTTATTAACTGTTAAGCGGCACATTTAGCAATGACCACCCGCGGTGGCCGTGGCAGCATCGTTCCTTTGGATGAACAGCGATTGCGGCGGAATAAACGCCGTCGCTTATCCAGGAATGCCTTGAATGCATCCCATAGCAGCGTCAAACCAATGCCTCCAGTCCCTACTGCCTGCTGTGAACCTAGCCTTTCAGGTGTGTGACTTACACAATCTTGGTGGTTTTCCATGAAATTTCCTTCAGTGCGTCGTTTGTTGGAATTTCTAACATTTTTTCTTTTACCTTTTTGACACAACTAGTATACTCACCCGTGCGATGCACGGTTTGAAAAATTTTCTTTCAAATTTATGTCTACTTATTAATTCAAATCACACTATCAATTGATGATATATCTTTATGTAATACTGATATACATCAAAGTATTAAACAGAACACACTTATAATATTATGGTCAAAATGAGATTACTAAGCATTGCTTAAAAGATAAAAAACATCCAACAAATACGTTGAAACAATAACATTGTAAATATGCATTGAAATCGATGTGCTCACAATACTAAAGCATTACTTCCGGGTACGTCTTATTGGCCTCCATCCATGTTGTGAAAAAATTGTCCTTAACTGGGCATGCCCCAACCGCTGGATCTAGAGGTTGATCATCGCGGAAGACAACACTTTGTTCTTCCAGCAAATGGAATCTCAAATGTTTAACTGCCGGGGTCTTATATTGAATTTCAAACCCAAATATGCGCCAAACAGCCTCGCACGCAGAAATGTATCTACAAAAATAGTACATCTGTATCTCATCGACTGATCGTGCATCGCACGGTTAACATTTGAAGTTGTTAATAGGAATGCTTAGGAATCAACACATTTTAGATCGCACTAACTTATGTCAAAATCATTTCTTTTAGTAAAACGTTTTGCTAGTAATTCACCTTGCGATGTGCAAATGATTTGCCTTTTTTTCATTTTCAAAGGTTTGTATAAATTAATTGAAGGTAAATTATTTATAATGACTAAGTAATAAGGTAACTATAGATTTACACAAATTGCATTTTTAGACGAATTGTCTCTCTAAATAGGTAAAATAAGAGAGTAAAATATGTGAAAGTGTGTTATGTCATTCTTGAATTATACTTGAATCTAAATTTGTGGGAAAATGTTCAAATAGGTGCTTCTACTATTTATAATATCCAAGTATTGTTTGATCTGGTTTGTTTAAGTTTGGTTTGATCTGAGACTGAAATAAGTGTAAGTATAAACATCTCGAGCAATATGGTGACAATGCATTTATACGAATTGCATTTTTTATATGAATTGCCCGGGAAAATTGGCAAATCAGGGGGTGTGCAAATATGTGAAAGTGTGTTATGGCATTATCAAACAATACTCAAATATGAATTTGTGAGAAAATGTTAGTTGAGTCCGTATATAAAAAGTAATGCTATCATTTAAGCGCAATAGGTAGAATCTATAGTAGTTCTTAATTCAAAAATAAGTACAAATCCAGTGCGATGCTCGGATGATGAAATGTAAAGGGCAAAGTTTTACTCAAATTAGAAAAAAAAAACATACACAATAATCAATTGGATGTAAAATGAAATGTATTACTCAAATTGGTTTGTCCATTTTTAATTATATTTAATTTGGAGTTTGCAACTTTGAAGAGATTTTAATGTAGTTTTTTAAAATGTAAATTTTAACTATTAAAAAATGAAATAAGTATCAATATGGAGGATTTAACTTTATCATTGGTTGATTAAAGAAGCTTGACTTTGGAAATCAATTGTTCTTCTCCAACATTTTCTAATTTTTAGATTCAAAATATATATTGCTTTCGATACTATGTATATTTTTTTGTTAAATGTTTAGATATTTTCAATTTTTGTTGTGATTGTATTTCAATTGGTTTTGGATATCTCAGTTTGATTTTTTTCCGGGTTCAACCCAACCCACCCCGAACCCACCCCGAACCCGAGGCTCTTAAAACCTGGACCAACCCGAAAGTATTGGTCCTCCGGTTGGGCCCAAAATGTAGAACCTGATGCTTTTCGGGTTTTTTACGGTTCTAGTCAAAACCCGACCCAACCCGACCCAATCTCATTCCTAGCTGATTCTACCGATTTGTGTAAACTATTATTTAAAATACATTTTATTAATAAAATAAAGAAAAATTTATATGAAAAATAACTAAAATGACCATCTACAGTAACTTCAGCCAATACAGCCAGACAATGAACTCCAACCTTATTTTTTCTTATTATTACACAATTCAATCCGTAAAATCAAAAGTGGCGTGTTTAGTGAAAAATTAGCTTATAAACCCGAAAAGCCAAAAATCCTTGCTACCAAACGGGCACATAATCTTTGATTTCGATTGATTCATCAGTTTATATGTACTACCTTTTATAAATATACGTATTATTATTTCCAATTTAATCTAAAAAGTAATTCGAACACATTTAAAAGCTTAAGAGAGTGTTTGCAACTGCTTCTGCTTAAAAAAAGCACTTTTGGAGTGATTTGAAAAAAGTGATAAGTAGTAAAAGTTGATAGTGTTTGAAAAAAAGTGATTTTGAAAAGTAAAAGTTGGTAGCATTTGGTAAAATAAGTGCTTTTTGTGTAATAGAAAAGGGAAAAACATTTTTCACACGCAAGTCGAGAAAAAAGTAAAAATTGGTAGTGTTTGGTAAATAAATGTTTATTTAAGCTAAAAGCTGATAAGTGTTTTTTTAAACCATTGCAAACACTACCTAAGAGTATGACTTTGTACAATTACATATGCACTTTAGTTAGGACAATAAAAACAAAAATTGATTGGATATAAAGGTCTCATAAAGCACCGCATAATAAGGACTTATATACGAACTTTTACTCCAAATTTTCTCCAATTTACACGCTAATGGGGTCTAGAAAATTCAATAGACATCTGATCATTGTTTACCCCTCATCACTTTATCTCTCTTATCTACTCCATCAACTCTCACCCCAAATCAGCCTGCCGATTCAACTCTTATTCATAGGTTTGCCGCACAAAAATATTACTAAAATAAATCTTATTTACATGAATATGACTATTAGTTACTAAAATGTGGTGTTATAGTAACTTAGTTTAAAAGTTGAACATAAGTTACTATAATTTCATTACTACTCTAGTCAATCACATTTTTGTAAACGGACTTGATTTTAGTAATAAATATGAAGTATGTAATTATTTCTAATACATTTAACATTTTAATCATAAAAAGGATTTATGTAGTTTACTAATATCATTAATAATAAAATTAATTGATGTCCAAAAGTCATTTAATAAGTTTTCAGGTGAATATAAACGACCATTTAACCAAACACCGATTTACAAACTGCTAATACTATCAGCTAATTAAAACAGCTAACAGAATCCGCTATCATCAATCATCTAAAACAATCAGCCAATAACCAACAACCAATTGTCAAACACCCCGAGTAGGGGGGAGGTAGGGGCAGGGGTGGGTACGTAGTGGGGTACGTTTTTTGAAAAATGCGAGTAGACATAATTTTATCTTCTAAAATGGTACTCCCTCCGTCCCATTTATATTGTCCCGGAAGAGGGTGACACGGTTATTAAGAAAAGTGGGTTTGTGTGGTTGATATTAATCGATAAAGTAAGAATAAAGTAAGAATGATTTAGAGCCACACAAACTTTGTCAAATATGATATGGGACAATATAAGTGGGAATTCCCGAAAAGGTAAAACGGGACAAAATAAATGGGACAGAGGGAGTAGATATTACGGAGTATATTTTTGTAATTTTCTATTTTTTTTCTTTATTTTTTTAATAAAATATACGGAGTAACATACGATAGTACAGTCCAATATGATTTTCTCATATTCAAACCGATTAAATTAGTTTAAGAAAGATTCTAGAATGCCACTTATTTTCATTCTCACCCCCACTTTAACCTCAACCTTCAACTCAAACGACCTACCCTCCCTTATCTCTTCCAACTCCAGATCTAACTATTCTCTCTTAACAGATTGCATCCAAGTACGAATCGGAATCGGAATCGGACGACGTCGCATATCCTCCATCGTCTCTGAAAGTCCTGCAGATCCCTTCGCCTCCGTGGTCTCGGAGAGTGCACCACCATATTTATCGGGCTTGTAGGATGATTTGAAAGAGTATGCAATCCAAAGGAAAACCACCCTGAGGAAGAAGAAGAAGAAGAAGAAGAAGAAGAAGGTCGTTCCACTATTCCGGCGGAGGAAGTTCAAGAAGTCAATACACGTTCCACTGTTCCGGCGGAGGAAGATCAAGAAGTCAATACACACTGTGAATTAAGAGCTACGAATTAGAGGTCTTCCCTGTTTGTAGGTATGTTGGTCTCACTTTCTTATCATATATAATCCCCTCACACTTCTTCTACTGTGCTTCTTAATTTGTGAAATATGACTTGATGCTAAATAAAGTATGGCATAACTCAGAACTTTACTTTGATTTTGAAATATGACACTTCAATATGGCTAAACAAATGTGGCACTTCTTTGAACTTTAATTTGGCATGTGAAATATGAAACTTAATGATGAACCGCAATAAAACACTTCATTGAATTGTATTCCTATTTTCGAACCACAAATCCAGGCAGGAAAGAAAAACTTTCGTATCCTTTATTCTTATTTACAATTTCAAATGGAATATAGATATATCTCTTTAGTATTCACCCCTTTGGGTAATTCTGGTTGTTGGAATTTGTATCACCCAACATAACAAAATATTTTACTTGAAATCTTTAAAGAATAAAGACTGTTTCTACATTCAATAAACCTCCTAATAATCAATAATTGTGTTGCAACAGATTTTGAAGCTGTTTTACTATATTCAGGAAGAGAATTTTTTTTTTCTATTCTAACTTTTTTCTTACTACACCTGAATGTTTGGGACGGTTGGGAGACTTTACTGTCTCATACTCTCATGTACTCCGTATTATTTTGAACGCAATCCACCCCAAACCCAACTCACCACCCATCTCTTTCTCTACTCTTAAACCTCTACAACACAACACACAGACTCCGCACTCCACACACTCTACAGACTCGAAACTCATATCAACTTAAACGATGCACTTTCACTTGGCATCCTTACAGAGTACTGGAAAGATGTGAAGATTCAGGAATGGACAACTGGTGAAGCCCACCATACCAACCACACCATTTGAGGTATTGAAATCAGTAGCTTATTTATTACTCCATACTCCGTATTTCTTAAGCTTCAGTAAGCTGCTAACCTTTATGTTACCTTTTTAACAATAACCACGAATCATAGACCACATACCAACCATATTGAAAGAAATATTTGTTTTTGCTATTTCAGCTTGATGTGCCGATGGATGTGAGAATTGTCATGCCGGTGTGTTTGTTTTATAGCTGAATGCAACTATGCTAAGGGCTGGAAATGAGATACATCAAATCTCATTCACTGTGCTCACCACCCATATCTACCAATAGAAATAAAGCAATGTAAATAGTGCATCAACAGTGCCGGCCTCTCTTTTGAACCAATAAGAATGCATCAAACTTTTAGGGCTCTGCACACCTCCTTTTTGCACCAATAAGAATTGCCTAATCACTAAACATCATCTGTTGCCCGAGCTATTATATTTACATGATAATTCATTTGTATTTATTTTGACTAATTAAAATAATAAAGTATTGATGTTGACATTTCTTGGAGGGAACCCTATTCATCAAAAATCTTTTGCTTTTATATTAAGATAGATAACCAAACTTAATCCCTATTGTGCATAACCTGTCCTGATTTCCTACCTTTGTTGCCCTTTCTTTTCATGCATCCATCCCATGCAATGTAAACCTCTATTCATAATTTCCTTCTTGTCACGCGCTGCTCCCTATGACTTCATGTGACCCTTAATGGTGGTCATTTTCCTTGCTGAATTGTGCACCATGTTTGTTTGCCTGCATACCATGCTCTTTGCTGACATGTGCTCCTCGCTATATGCTTGGTGTGTTTCCCCAACTTCGGGAGGGTATGCAGTTGACGGTGACCATATTGAGCCCGTTGCTGAGACCGTTTCTGCGCCTACCCCTGTCCATGACAGTTACAGGCTGAAACCGGTGCCCGACTGTTCGCTTTGTGGTGCTGAAAGAATCCAATATGAACCCCCTACCAGCTGTTGCAGCCGAAGTGAGGTCGTACTGAGTTCAACTGAAATGCCCCCTGAATTGCAACGGTTATTCACATCCTGTGACCCTTTATCTAAGCACTTTCAAACATGCGTGCGGACGTACAACAACACTTTCGCCTTTACATCAATAGGGATTCACAACTACGACAAACAGTTGTGTCAGCGCAACAAGGGGATATATACCTTCAGGGTTCAAGAGCAGATATACCATTTCATTAACGACTTGCTTCTTGACGGGTGCCCGCCTCGTAATTTACAGCTTTACTTTTATGACACTGAATGTGCTACAGATACCAGGTTAGAAAGTACAGGTCATCTGGACAAAGATATCGTTACAGTTTTGATGGGTGTCTTATCGTCAAACCCGTACGCACAGTTTTTCAAAAGCTTAGCTGATATTGATCGTTCTGATGAATTTTCCATTGTACTGAACGGCAACCCTGCCCTCGACCAGCGTATTTATAATCGACCAACATCATCCCAGGACGCTGCTGTCTGGGTTGAGGATGACTACGAAGGTCTAGCGTCCAACAGGAACATCCGTGTGTACTCGCACGGTGGCAGGTCACAAAACATTCATTATTATTATGGTTGTTACGACCCGTTGCAGTATCCTTTGTTGTTCCCCCTTGGCGAAGTAGGTTGGCATGAAGGAATTCCAAAAAGTGCTGCCAATCGGCCCGTCCCAACTCTCCACCCCACGCCTTCACTATCTGTGCAGTGCAACCGATTTGAAACAGCTTCTGATTTACTTGCAAGTGAGGAAAATATGCGGAATGAGGGCACAAAGAGACCATCTATTTCATGTAGACAATATTATGCTTATAAGCTCCAGATGCGCCATCAGAATACCTCTTTTATCTTACATGCAGGCCGTTTATTCCAGCAGTATATAGTTGACCTGTACATAAAAATAGAGACTCAACGTCTAGACTATTACCGCAGCAAACAGCGTGATTGCCGGTCAGACACCTACCAAGGGCTGGTTGATAGTATTGAAGCAGGCGTGCAAAACACCAACGATGTTGGCCGGCGGATTATCTTGCCCGGGTCATTCATAGGTGGCCCACGCGACATGCGCGGGCGCTATATGGACGCGATGGCTCTTGTTCAGAATTTTGGAAAACCTGACCTTTTCATTACAGTAACATGCAATCCAAATTGGCCTGAAATTAAGGAGCGAATCACCTATGAGGATGAGGTTCAAAATCGGCCAGAACTTGTTGCCCGCATCTTTCGTGCCCGCCTCGAAGACTTCAAAAAAGACATAATAAAAGGGGGTTTGTTTGGTTCAGTTGTTGCGTATACGTACGTCATTGAATTTCAGAAAAGAGGCCTTCCCCACGTCCATTTCCTTCTGATCTTGTCGCAGTCGTGCAAAATTGTCACCTCTGCGCGCTGTGATCAATTCATAACGGCCGAACTCCCTGATCCCACCGATGAACCTGATTTGTACCGACTTGTTAAGAAACATATGATCCATGGTCCCTGTGGTCACATGAACCCGAAATGCCCCTGCATGGTCCTTTCTCCCGGGGCACCGACTCCTACATGCAGAAGCAAATACCCACGTGAATACGCACTAACGACAACCTTTGACGACGCTTCTTTCCCCACTTATAGGCGACGATCTTCTGGTGTGACTGTGAGTGTTAGAAACCATTCATTGGACAACAGGTGGGTCGTCCCTTATAATGCACAGCTCCTCCATAAGTACGATTGCCACATCAACGTAGAGGCATGCGCAAGTGTGAAGTCAGTCAAGTACATATACAAATATGTGTATAAAGGCCATGATAGAGTCAGTATGGCGCTTTCGGGTGTGGGGAACAACGCAGTCATTGATGAAATATCAGATTACCAAAAGGCACGTTGGGTTTCTCCACCTGAAGCAGCGTGGCGTATATTCGGGTTTCCTCTCTCTGAAATGAAACCTGCTGTATTGTCGTTGCAAGTTCACTTGGAACCAGCGGATCACATGCGCCACTGATGCTGCAGACTCTACCAGAACTATGCTTACTCAGTTTTTTTCATGAACTCTTCCAATCCTACTGCAAGGTCACTTGACCTCTTGTATGTTGAATTTCCTCATTACTTTGTGTGGACCGCACACAAAAAAGAATGGACTCAGCGAAAAAGAAAAGAAGTTCTTGGCAGGCTGGTTTCCGTCAACCCTTTTGAGGGGGATCGCTATTATCTGCGGCTTTTACTTGCAAATGTTCGGGCGCCACAGTCCTTTACCGACCTTAAAAGTGTAAATGGCATAGTGTACGCGACATTCAGAGGTGCAGCTGAACAGCGCGGTCTTTTGTCATGTGATTTCGTTATACGGGCGTCACTGGACGAAGCAGTGTTATTCCAGCTGCCCTCCAGCCTGCGCAGACTGTTTGCCACACACCTTTGTTTCTCTGTTGTTCCAGATCCGCGTACCCTTTGGGACGACTACAAATCTCATTTGTGTGAAGACATTGCCAGATTTCAGCCTGTCACAGGGGCAGAACACTGCGTGCTTTCATTGCTGTCTGACTTGTTTACTTCAATGGGAAAGGATATTGATTCCTTTAAATTGGTAGACACTGAATTTACAGTACCTGTACATGAAGAGACTAGCCGTGAAATAGCCGCTGAGCGTAGAATATTAGTAAGCGATGCAGATCTGGCCAACATATCTTTCTTGAATCCGCAACAAAAAACCGCATTTGACGCTATCATGGAGGCTGTACATACCTGTTGTAGTTCTGTTTTCTTCGTTGATGGCCCTGCCGAGACAGGTAAAAGTTTTTTGTACAAGTGTTTGTTGGCTGCAACTAGAACAAACAACTGGATAGCTCTTGCGACTGCAAGTTCTGGCATTGCCGCGTCCATTCTACATGGTGGCCGCACCGCACATTCACGGTTTAAACTCCCACTTGACGGTGAATCGCGCTATACATGTAACATCGGCAAACGGTCTTCAGAGGCCAGCCTCCTTAGAGAATCCTGACTGCTTTTATGGGACGAGGTGTCCATGGCGAACCGCAAGATTGTTGAAAGCCTTGATACAACATTAAGAGACATCCTTAATATTGACTCTCTTTTCGGAGGAAAGATTATAGTTTTTGGTGGGGATTTCAGGCAGACTCTGCCAGTAGTTCGTTCTGGAACAAAAAAAAGACTTCATTGATGCATGTCTGGTTAAATCATTCGTAATATGGCCCCACATCCGCCATTTCCGCTTAATAACAAACATGCGGGCACATGGAGACCCTTCCTTCTGTGACTACTTGATGCGTATTGGCAATGGAACTGAACCAACGGGCACGTCTGGACAAATCAGGATCCCCTCGACCTTTCTCATACCTTGGATCAATGAAACTGCTTCGCTGGATCTACTTTTCGCTGCAGTGTACCCAGACTTGCAGCTATTCAAGACAGATCCTTACGCCTTAATGGGTCGTGCTTTACTCACAACTAAAAATGACTTTGTCGACTTCATAAATTCATCCTTGATGGGAAAATTCCCTGGTCAAGAACACACATATCTTAGCTATGACACTGCAATTGACCCCAAATACATGCAATGTGAAGATTACCTACACACCTTGTCCCCTGCTGGTTTACCACCTCATAAACTTACCTTAAACATAACTGTCCTGTCATGTTATTACGCAATCTCAACCCTTGTGAGGGTCTGTGCAACGGTACCCGCTTAATTTGTGACTCTTTTGGAGATCATATCTTAAGCTGCTTCATTGCCTCCAGTGATCACAAAGGAAAGCATGTGTTTATCCCTAAAATTCCTCTTGAAGTGACAAAGGATGAACATTGTGCAATGCCTTTTAAACGCACACAATTTCCCATTAAACTTTGCTTCGCCATGACAATAAACAAGTCCCAGGGGCAAACTCTAGACTTTGTCGGTATATACTTGAAAGAACCCGTCTTTTCACATGGTCAATTGTACGTCGCAATGTCACGAGCCAGAAATTCAGCATCCATTAAGATTGTGTTGTGTCCAGATGAACACACACCAGCTGTCATGAATAGTACATTCAATGTTGTATATGATGAAATATTGCCTTACATTAATTAGAGGTTACTTGCTACAATTTGTGTGTCTTCCCCTTTTTATACTTCCTATTTTTCATCTAGCTAATACAGTTATGTGCTTCATTGTCCTTACCATTCACAGACGAGTACCATTATGACAGCTGAGATCTTAATTGCCAATGTGAAGCCAGAAACACAACGGTGGACCTGTCGCCTTACGGTGATTGAAAAGCAGAATGTTCGTTCAGCTAAAAATTCCCCCATCAAGTTTATGCCCATAATCCTGATGGACTCCGCTGTGCGTCGACCTTTATTCATTTGTGAAATATATTGTTTCTTCTTCGTGCATATCCATTTCTTACCACTTGCATTATTTGTTTTTGTTTAGGGGACAAAGGTTCAGGCCACTGCTTTTCAGAGCGACATCGCCGGGCTTGATCAACGTCTGACATTATACTCAACATATCTCATCTCTAACGCATATGTGAAACCGCTGACTGACCTTCGTCACTGCGTCGATAAAACTTATGCATATGTTTGGTCTTTCAATCGGAGGACATTGATCCAGGATGTGGCCCCAACTGAAGGAGTTGATCATCGTCAGCTGGCTGAATCAGCCACTAGACCATTCTGGGAGTTTTACACTTGCTACCTTCATGATGAAAAAATCTGTGAGTCCCAATTGTCGTCAAGGAGTTTTCCCACCTGCTATACTTCTTACAGTTAACTTATCTTGACCTTCTTACAGGTGTCCTAGCTGCAATTGTCTCAAAACTACCACGTGCCTTCATAGTCACTAGCGACGAGCAGAAAGTTGCGTGGGACGTTGTGCTGGTTGATGAAGAGTACGTGCAGACGCTATTTATCATCCTTGCCCCTCTGCTTCTTATGTGTAAATTAGGTTCATATGCTTTGGTTTTTACCTGCAATTGTACGCTCATATGATTTGTTTTTACCTGCAGTTGTACACCGATTCCGCTTACTATGTGGGAAGAATTTGTAACGCGTCATGGTGCAGAAATTGAAAAACGACTGAACGAAGGGGAGTTCCCTCTTGTGCTCATCCAAAGGGCTGCTATTAACCTCTTTCAAGGTTAGCTCTGTCCTACGCACTTGTAAACTTTTTAAACTGCCACAATTTTCCATACCTGTTTTCTTTTCGCAGGAATGTCCCTTTCAACAAGATTTGATAGCCACATGGAACTGAACCCGTCTGGTGAACGCGCCTTGGTTCTGAAAAAATGGTAACTTTGCTTTCTGCCTTTCCGCCATGTAACTTCAAATCCTCACCTGCCTGACCAAAATTTTGAATTTTCCAGGGTCGCCTCTAATACATTGAAAATTACTGAGCTTGTCGTGAAGAAGAAATACAACGACGCTCTGGTTGACATTGCCCGACCTATTTCACAGCCGCGAACAGCGGTTTCAGCTGTAGAGGCTCAACTGAACACGGTTAGTTCACTACGTTTTTCCATTCTAACCCTGTTGTATTCAGTTTTTGAAGATCTCTTTTTTTTTGTTTTACCTCTTCCCAATAGGTTCCTGTGGTGTGGGTGTGTGGGAAGTTCACTTTAGCTGCCAATCCGGGAAATGGGTTCTACGTGGGCTGTGATTACTGTAATCGCAAGGTTTATGGAGATGCTGGCATATCATTCGAGTGTTTGTTTTGTGGACAGAAACATGGAACGATGGTTAAGCGGTATGAATTTTGAACGACCTGACGCCAACCAATGTGATCTCTTTCAGCTCTAACCCAGTGTTACTTTCTTTAGGTATATTTGCAATGCCTCTCTTGGTGATACGCACAGCTGCATTCCCGTAACTCTCTTCACAAGCGATATATTACGCCTGTTTGAGTACGTAGACATGAACCCAGAAACTGACATGGACTTGGAAGCTTTAGATGCCAAACTGCGTTCTCTAACATTGCTTACAGGCGTAAAACGGTCAAAAAACAACGAGGATGGCCTTCAGAAAAACCCATACAGTATTGTCTTTGTTGCGAAAGAGGACCCCCCCTAGAATCTGCCATGTCCGCAGATGGTGCGCCCTCAGAAACATCTGCAGCCACTACCTCTGATCCTAAAAGGAAGCTGCACTTCAACACTCTGTCCCCCATCACCGAAACATACCCTTCTGCACCTGCAAAAGGCCCCCTGGACGCTAGAGAATCTGATGACGAACCAATTGCGAGCACTCGACTCAGGAAGCGTAAAGTTCCTGATGCCTGATATCCACGCTCTACTCTTTTTTTTGTTAGGATGACACACTGATTTTCCTTGTCTTATTTGCTCATTGCGGTCATCCATTTTTTGCTCAAACACTTGACTCAAAATAGTGACGTAGCCGTCTAGCACTGCACATGTGCAGTGGTGCATTGAGTGCACTGTTTTTTTTGCGTTTTGCTCCTCTTTTGTTCATCTAGGGGAGATAATGGTTGTTATGTATATACGAACTCACAATCATGTACTCTCAAGGTGTGGTTTAGTACCATTTTGTATATAAATAATCGTGGAAATGGCCGTAGTTTCACTGCCTTAGCTTATTCTGGAAAAACACATATTTTTTTTTCAAAGCCTTTTGTTTATTTCCTTTTACTCATTTTCGTCTTCTTTCCTAACGTTAGGAAGAACCCTTGAAATCCTTAAAAATAAAAATTAATAATTCAACTACACCTGCCACACTCCCACGTATTTGAACGTAAAGGCCATACGTGTGGTTGAGTGAAATGCGGCCCGGTCCGACCATGCCCGGTCCCAACTCGTTTCAAAGTAGTCTTTTTAGCTTCATTTTTTAAAAACTTCCCTACACTAGTAGGGGTAGACTCAGGCCGGGCGGTCTGACCCGGAACCGGTCCGGGTCGTTTTTTTTTTTTTTTTAAACTTTTAAAGTTTTTGGGTTAGTTTATGTATTTTGGACCATTTGAGGTTGTTTGGGGTTGAGTGGGAGGGGTAGGGGGTCAAATAGGAGAACAAAAAAAACATGGTCCGTTTAGGCCCGCCCCGGTTTGGCCCAGAACCGGAACCGGCTACCGGCGGTTCGGGATCGGGTCCCATTCCCCCCCCCATTCCATACATTGATTTTACTAGCTCACCCAATATAATAAATTTTTCCCTAGTGAGTTAAGCCATTGTTGTTCTCGGTTCTCTAAAAGATCGGTAATATACATATAACATATTCCGTATCTTATTGTGTAATTTATATATAGTCATCGAAAAAAACAAAATATTAAACAGACTTTTCCTTTATTGCTTGACCTGTTCCAATAGACGAGGTGTTAAACAGATTCTTCCTTTATTACTTGACCTGTAACGAGTGCCGCCCAATGCATGGTATAGGGGTCCGTACCAACCACCATATGCCTCTTTACCTTTCTCCTGCGCAAACGCTTCAGTCTCTTTCCCAGTGAACCGCAACAGCTTCTCATCGGCCGGTGCCAGCCCAACCCATCCTCCAGCCTCCTTACCCGCCGCTCAGGTAACTTCTCCCTCTTATTTCACTGCCATTCAAGCTCTGGATCCCCCCCACCTGTAATCACGCCTGCTTGTTAATGGAGCAAACTTTCGTGCTTTTGGGTTCTGTTGCTGCTTTCGTACGTGCCAATTGCTTCCCTACCTGGTCACTGCTCCTTCGTGACATCCTGTTCTGGGTTGCGTTGGTTTCTTATTTTTTGTTGCTTGTTGTCGTCTTTCGTGCACTTATCCACTTTTCCCAACCTGTTGCGTCCTGTCCTCTCATAGGTTATGCTTCCTTGTTTCATGTTAATAGGTTTTATGGATCTTTTTAGCACTTGTTCAGTTGAACGGGCGAGGATTCCTACCGGTGGTGAAACCCTTACGTACTTCATGAATACAATCCACGGAAGAAAATTGCTGGTTGCCATTGTTACCAACACAGGTGCAGGAAATAGTGCATGTGAGACAAGTAACGATTGGAAACAATTTGTGCGCGCCTCGGGGTGTTACCGCTTCATGTCAACAAACTTCAGGAGCCAATCCGAAATTGAGCAGAAACTGAGCCATTATGTTCGCCGGGGTCCATCAATGCCTCTAATCACAGGTTGAATCTCTTTTGTTTTGCTTCATTTTTACTAACATCCTGCACACTATTTTAGATTTTATATGGACATTTCCATCCCTTTTAATGACTGCCCTAACCTGGCTTATGTTGTTTATCCTTGGTGTTTTAGTTTTTTTTTTTAAATAAAAAATTCCAGTGTGCCAGAAGACTGACACTTTCCATTTCCCTGATGTGATGCAATTCAGTGTTGTTTGGTTTACGTTGGACGTACCTGACATTGAAGTTGTTGTACGCTTCCTACTTCTCATTAAGTGTTTCTTATCTGTTTTTTTTGGCCTGTTACTACAGCTGTTCATCATTCTTTTAATTGTTTATTCCTCTCTTTGCCCAGAAAATGCCATCCTGTATGCACAGGCATTTGTTTGAGCATACCAAGTCTTCTGCTCAGCTTCGGTACGGAACCACTTCATGGGACGTCAGGGTTGATGATTGCTCGTTCACCGAGGGGTTTGCTGAAATGTTCATGGAAAACAACATTGAATTTGGTTCCCATGTCCTGCTCAGGCATGTGGGGAATTTCACGTTTGACGTGTTCATCTTTGACACTCAGGGCTTTTCTCTAAACCAACCTGGAACTCCTGTGGGTCATTCAAATCCTTTGCATACCCCAAGTACATTCATCTTTCTTTTTGCTTTATTTTGAAAGGCATTGGTTAGTTAACCTACTTTTCCTACTTCTTTAAATCTGGGAATCATAAGCATGGTTTCTTTCCTTGTTGGCTTTACCATTAACAGACGCTCATATGTCGGCCTCTCCTGTTGCAGATGACTTCCTGGTCTGTGTGGAGTCCTCTTTTGAAGATTGGTCATACCGCCGGTTATTTTGCTCTGCCTCTTACCTGTATGTGCCCAAAAAAATTCCTGAGGTTTGTCCATATGGTCCTTTCCTTATTCTGCACTTTCACATGTGTTTTTTCTTTTCTATTGACTTTTTCCCTAAGGAGAACGCTTAAACCTGATGCATGAACCAATGCAGCAACCCCAGAAAACATCAACTGGTGACATCACCTACTACACAACTCAAACAATACATTTTCCCTTCTTTCATTGCACAAATTCCCTTTCCATGTATTACCTTTTTTGTTCACTGCCACCTACAAATGCCTGCCCATTACATTGCTCTTGTACCAAATTACTCTTCTTTTCCAATTGTCGTTATACTACATCTTTTTCCCCAAATGCAGCAATGGTGTGAAAGTTTCCTGAGGTCGTGTGCCAGTGTGGGGAACCGCTTACAGATCTTCTACGGCAAGGATGATGCTTGTTTTGAAACTAGAGCACAACCCGTTCTGCGCGACATTCAAATGACTTTTGGCATAGACCAACATTCCACTCTTTTCTTCCTTAAATATGGTCAGAGTAGGGCATATCTGCTAACAATTTCATCATGCGGCGTAGAGGAACTCCCGCGTGAAACTAATACGTATGAGATACGCACTGCTGCTCGTGGCACTCCTGCTAACCCTGCCTGACCTACCAAATGCCCTGCTGTATCCCCTGTTTGCTGTTTTGTTCTGTTTAAACATGCTGCCCCCAAACACTCTAACTGAAACTTTGTGCACCCAGCTGCAAGTTGTAATAACTTGCATCATTTTTTTTGCTGCTGCTAAAACCGTATTCACATTTCTTTTGCTACATTTCAATGCTCTCTTTTTATTCATTATTGGGCCCCACCCGTCGCGCATAGCGCGCGCCCACGCTAGTAAATAACATAAGGCCATTAGCCTTCTTTGACAAACAGCTGTTGCGGTTGGATGTTAGCTGGTTATATTAGTTGCTTTTCAATAGTTGTTTATATTAAATGTTTTGATTAACTGGTAATGTTAGCTTCTTGTATATAAATAATGTTTGCTATTTGCGACTGACTTTTAGAGGGCAAAAAAGACATATTAGGACATTAATATATATTTATTATCTTGTGTTTTTATAATAACAACGTAATAAGTAGAATTACTTAAAAAATAAAAATAAGATTCAATCCACTCTTTTTAATTTAAATGCTTAACTAAAATCATAAAAGTAACAATTATATTAACATAGTCGGTTTTCTCTTTGTTTTCTTTAATTTTTTGCTTTTCGTTTTATTTCTTTCTTACGTTTCCAATCCTCTTCAGTCTGCACCTTTTGCTTTTAATTTCTATCAAACAGAAATTCAGGCTTGGAGTTTTATTCAGCACAAGGCAAATATTTATACAAAGAGAAGTTTACGTAAACTAGGAAAGAATAACTAGGAATAATTATTTTCCTATAATAACTTGATAATCCTTAATGATAGAATATTTCCTTAACACCCCCTCAAGTTGGAACATGTAAATTACAAATGCCCAACTTGTCAAGTAACACATCGAATTGTTTCCGGCCAAGAGCTTTGGTAATTAAACATGTCGGCCAATCGGAGAGTAGTAGGAACATATGAAGGTGCTATTAGACCATCACGGATGGCATCTCGGATGAAGTGACAGTCAACTTCAATATGCTTGATACGTTCATGGAAAACAGGATTTTGTACAATATGGAGAGATGATTGACTATCACAAAAAAGAGAAATAGCCTTCGGATGATGGACGCCCAAACTCAAAAGTAAGCCTTTTAACCACTTTAACTCACACAGGACGAATGTCATAGAGCGGTACTCGGCTTCAGCGGAAGAGCGGGACACAGTATGTTGTTTCTTCGTCCGCCAAGAAATAGGAGAGTGCCCAAGAAAAACTAACCAACCCGTGAGAGAGCGACGGGTAAGCGGACACGCAGCCCAATCCGAGTCACACCAACCTTGCAAACTAAGGTCATTGTCAGAACTGAGAAGGATACCTTGGCCAGGACATGCTTTTAAATATCTCACAAGTCGTAAGGCGCTATCCCAATGCTCTTGACGAGGTTCATGCATGAATTGAGACAGAATATGGACCGCATATGTGAGGTCTGGCCGAGTGACTGCCAAATAGATCAAACGACCAAGAAGTCGCCTATACGGCTCAGGATCAACAAGTTTGGGTCTAGTAGAAAGAGCTAATTGATGATTCTGTTCAATAGGAGTGATGGCAGGCTTGGCGCCTAAGAGGCCTGACGAGTCATTTTCACAATAATGCTCATCGGGTGCCGGGATATGGAAGTCCCGGATATCGTCTCACGGGACGGTGTATATGGAAAATCAAGTGTGAAATCAATCTAGAAATCTAACATGTAAGCTAGCCAAGTCGAAGTATGTTTAATTTAAGAGAACAACTAAATTGCAATGAAGATAAATAACAATTAAACTAGAAGGGAAGCGGGGGCATACAAGGAACAACCTATGATTAAGGATAAGGGGTCAAAATGGGGATATTTGGGAATATATCATGCAACAAAGGGATAGGTACAAGTTCCCTTGCCACTCTCATGGTCAAGGGGGTACTAAGGGATCCTATTGACCATTCTCATGGTCGACTAGCAATCCAAAGTCATGCAAAGAAGAGCAACCAACATTTTTCCCCTGCCTCATCCCATTCTCATGGAGAGGGATAGTGTGTGTGTGTGAATGTGTCAAAAGGAACCCTACAAGTCTCCTTGAAGATCCAAAACATCATCTAAGAACATTGTGGCCATCTAAGTCTTATAAATACAAAAAAGCATTTTCACAAACACATTGTGTGCAGAATTTTTTCATCAAATTCCCCCAAATCAAACCCCAAGACCTAACACATCACATGGTTGGATGTTTCTCAAACACCCCCAATCCCTAATCCAACTACTCACTCATGCTAGATTTCATATTCATAGAAGAGATATTAGACATAGACATGAAGTGAGATCAATGGATGAGATTAGGGAAATATGATAATGATGCAATCTAATGGATTAAATGAAGCTAGATTCAAGATTTGATGCAAATAATATTAAGAAATGAAATGCAATTGAGTTTAAGCAAGCTTACAACCAAAACTAGGGTTTGCAAGAAGAGAGCTCGTCCAAAACTATGGAAATTCGAACAAGAATTGCTATTTATACAAATGGGGAATCGGGGGAATGCTAGGAAGAAACGGCGTTCCCCATCGGCGTTCCTACCTTTAACAAAATATAACAACCGGTTGGCAGAAAGTTCGACGCTGGGAGGAACGGAAAAGGAACGTCGTTCTAGAGGGAACGCTGACAGGAACGTCGTTCCCTTTCAGCGTTCCCACACCTGGGACTTTGAAGTGAAAAACTGGTGTACAATACGGGGGGACGCTGGGGGAACGTCGTTCCGTATGGCGTTTCCGATGCTGCTTCCACCAAAACACATTCGATCTCTTCGTTTCTTGCTCCCTTGTGCTCCGCTTGGTCCTCAGGGTCTTCAAATCATCCATTCATACTTTCGAGACTCTTCAAAGAGCTTGGTTTTCACCCCTACAATGCTCAAATCCTTCACATGGTTCATTCAACCAAAATATTGCACAAGTTTAACCAAAATGGGGCAAAAATCTTCAAATGTTAACAAACAAAGACCATATTTATGAGAAAGTATTGGGTGTTTTCACACCTATCAAGGCCTGTTTCAGAGATAATATCTAGAGCGTACTTTCTTTATCAAAGAAAGATACTTGCAGAACTGCGAGCCACCTCGATGCCCAAAAAATATTTGAGGGCACCAAGATCCTTCATGTGAAAACATTGATTTAAATAGGCTTTAAAAGCTGTAAGAGCAGAAGAATCATTGCCCGAAAGAATAAGATCATCGACATAGACCAAGACGTTGATTTGAACATCACCTTTGGTGTAGGTGAAAAGAGAATAATCGGAGTAGGACTCTAAGAAACCATAAGCCTTTAAAACATTCACAAGCTTAGCGAACCAGCAACGAGGAGCCTGTTTTAAGCCATAGAGAGACTTATGCAGACGACAGACCATGTTTGACTGAGGGCTAGAAAAACCGGGCGGAAGCTTCATATATACCTCTTCGTCCAAATCGCCATGCAAGAAAGCATTATGAACATCCATTTGGTGATGTTCCCAATTCTTAGAAGCAACAATAGCAAAAAATGCACGAACAGTGAACATTTTGGCTACAGGGGCAAAAGTCTCATTATAATCAATTCTTTCGGTTTGATTATTACCAAGGACCACCAAACAAGCTTTAAAACGCTCAATACTCCCGTCAGACTTGTATTTGATTTTGTACACCCACTTCTTGTCGGGAGGAAGAGCCGTAAGAGACCAAGTACCATTGTTTTCCAAAGCACGAAGTTCGGCTTGCATAGCTTCTTGCCATTCGGGATGTTGCATGGCATCACGAAAGGACTGAGGCTCCACACCTGCAGTAATAGCTGCAAGAAAATGCCGATGTTGTACAAAAAACTTGTCACAACTGACATAGTGTGCGATAGGAAACGGCGTACCTGAGGGAGGATCAGATGTAGGTGAGGTGAGAGATGGACTTGGATGTACCATAGTGTGAGTAACATAGTCCTTCAGGCGAGTAGAGGGAAGCTTGGTACGTAGGCCCCGACCCAGAGCTGTGTCGGCAGGAGTGGTTTCATTAGGCGAAGCATAATCACCACTTATCATGTCGGTGGAAGGAAAAGATTCTTGTGTCACCACCGGAGGATTGATGGTATCGGGTCCGGAAGCAAGGTTATTCGAAGGACCTACAACAACCAAAGAAGTCTCATCCAAAGTATCCAAATACGGCCAGTCGTTGTTGGAAGCAGAAGTGATTGCATCCGTGGAGGAGGAGGCTGGCTGAGACGTAGAATATGGAAAAACATCTTAAAAAAACTTCATCACATCCCGTGAGGAAAAAAAATCCTTGGTTTCAAGATCATAAAGCAACCATCCTTTTTTGGCATATGGGTATCCCACAAAGATATATACATTTACGACTTTGGCTAGCAAACTTGTCATGTTTGGCGCGCTGATTGTGAGCATAACACAACGAGCCGAACACCCGTAACTCATCAAAACAAGGAGAACACCCAAAAAACATCTCATAGGGAGTTTTCTTGTGAAGAAGTATGGAAGGTGTGCGGTTAATCAAATGAGATGCAGCCAACACACATTCTCCCCAAAAATATATGAGCAAATGAGCTTGAAAACGCAAGCTAAGACACGAGCCACATTTAAAATGTGTCGATGCTTGCGTTCCACCCGCCCATTTTGTAAGGGAGTGCCAACACAAGAGGTTTGGAAAATTATTCCATGAGCAGCAAAATATTCTTTCGGACAGTACTATGATGCAAGATATTGCTGCCTCACTTTTGATGGAATTTGAAATATGGGTTCTGCAAGCAGAGTTTTGTGGAACTATTCTAAAGACTCCTTTAGACTCAAGTTAGCCTGAGCTCAGAGAAGGTTTGTATTTTAGGTGTTCCAAGTATTTGTTTGCACATCACATTCTTTTTTAGTATCCACACTCCACTACTTTGTTGTTTCATAGTTGAATTTTGACTTGGCAAGTTGGCATTATACGGTAGTATTTAATAGAGAAAAGGGTCCTATAAGCCCTTTTACTATTGCAAAAACATCACTTAAACCCACCTACTAAAAAAAGCATCACATAAACATATCAACTCTTGAAAAAGAATCATTTTAGCCATATTAATCCGGTCAATCCTTTCTCTTTCTTTCTGACATTTTCTTCCGCTCCCCCTTTCTTCTTCTTCTTCGCCATATCATGCGTATTCGCTTCAAAATTTTCTTTTGTTATTTTTTCTTTACTTTTTTATCCTATTTCTTTACTTTTTGTCTTCTTATTTTCTTCCGCTCGATCCATCTTCTTTGCCATTCCTTACTCTTTTCAGATTTTTCTTTTGTTATTTTTTCAATACTTTTTCTTTTTATATGCTTCATGCATGCGTGCATCTCTTATACAAACCCACATTGATTTTCCATTGTCGTTACTCACTTGCTGGTTCCGCCGCCATCATCCTAATTTAATATAGAGTATACTCATTTGAGATTAGAATTATAGAGTATATATACACTAGCTACGTAATATAAAAGCCTTTGATAAGAACTGATAAGTCAACAAAATATGTATTCCTACATACTCCGTATATAATACGAGTATAAGGCAGTGATATATACACACTCTACACAACAATATAATAAACCTCGTGAATGAAGAGAGTCCAATAGTAACCCATATCGTCTAATTGGGAAAAAAGAAGTGTTGGCATATATAGCTACTTTAGGAAATAATATTCAGTTTTGATTATAATACTACGGAGTAGAGTTGGAGTAGAGTTTATTTTACTTCCTTATGCCAATGCTAAAATATAATTATATAGGGAATTGAATGTAAATATTTTATTAGGAAATACGAACTACGAAATATTATACACTACGTATTCACTAGAACATACATGACATATACATACAGATTCCAGATGTAATATATATGTACGCAAGAGTATAGAAAAATCAAGTCTCGTTATTACTTTCACATGCTTGTCTAGACTAGATAATGATTTTTTTCGTACCATGTTGATGAGGAAGAAAAGAAGAATATAAAAATTAGAAGAAAAAATAGAAGAAGACAAGAAGTGTAAAAGGGGGAACGAGAGCTGGGAAACCAGAGGACGCCAAGAAGATAGACATTAAATACAAAAGGTAAAGAAGAAAAGAACAAAAGAAAATTAGAAGAAAAAAAATAAGAAGGGTAAAGAAATAAAAGAAGGCTGAAAGAAGTTCAACACATAGAGGCTGGAACAACCGATCACGGCTAGAAAGAAAAAGGCAAAAGAAAAAGAGAAAAAAATCTGTAGATGAGGGCAAAGAAGACGATAGAGCTACGCTGGAGAAAGTGAAAGGAAGAAAGAGAACTTAAAGGAGAAGGAAAAATTAAGAAAAAAGAAAATAAATATGGCATAACCAGTTAACAGGGTCAAATTCCGGTAATTTGACTATTATGACCTTATTTTAAGAGTTGATGTATTTATGTGATGCTTTTTTTAGTATATGGGTTTAGGTGATGTTTTTAAGATAGTAAAGGGACTATTTGACCCTTTTCCCTATTTAATATAACTTATAGGTTATCAAGGTAAAGAAAAGAAGGCTTGGGAGGGCACAAAAAACTATTGGGTGGAACCATTTAATGACTAAATGATGGATGCACAAGAGCACTAAGCACAATAAAGGGTTTTATCCCAAAAGTGAAGATATTGTTTTACAAGAGTACTAAACACAATAAAGGGTTTTATAATAAAGGTAAAGAGATTTTGTTTGTCCCTGTTTCAACAATCAAACTAGCAATATGTGATAGAGAAGAGAAGAATATAGCTTTGATTCAATACCAAACAATGATCGAGGATTGTACAGAACATGGGTATTGAGAAACTAAGTTTCGACTCTCTCTCTCTCTCTCACTAGAATAATATATGCTCTGAATCTGTAAAGTCCCTCTTTGCACATTCCCTTAAAGGCAATATTTATATGCCTAGGGAATGTGTGATGTGACCTAAGCATGATTGGGCTCTTTTATTGATTGGGCCCAATAACACACTTTACACATTTCCTAATAAAGCTTAGTCTACTTATAGCTTACAAACGTGCCAATGGGCTGAAATATTTAGACAAAATAGCTACACAAATACAAAGATATTTAACCAGATTGGACACCATAAAATATCCCTAACAGATTCTTTTAGTTAAATTTTGATTATGAGATAATGAGTTTTAGTGCATTAATGCATAGTTTATGACTTTTCAGTCATAAAGACTATACATTTTATGTCCAAAGTCTTGCTGGTGTTTTGCTATTGATCTTTTGTCCCGTTTCTTTGTAACAATATACATTATTGATCATTTTATGTGTTTCTTTTTAATTTATCAGACAGATCGTATGGGACAAAGACATCCAATTCTAGAAGATGAAGTCAAATATCGCTACAATAGTGTCATAATGCATTATAGAAAATCATTATACAAGACAATGCCCAGAGGTTGGTGTTATGTTTTGATTAATCGATATCTTAAAGCTCCTTTGACCTGGTGCATGTTACTATTATGTTCAAATGGTTAACCGGTTAAAATATTATATTACTGATATCTTAGTATGGTGTACAAGATATATAAATTGTTCAAATGTGCTGGTAAAATCTGAAACCCTCATTTATTACACTGATTTTGTTTCAAAAACTGTGATGTAACTTCATATTTCATTTTTAAATCAGCCAGAGAGTCGTTGGAGCGGTTAATGGTACTCTGGTCCTTTGAATAGTCATCTTTTATAGCTCTACTGGTAACTCCAATTCTCGATTTGCTAAAGTTGTTTGTACGGTACAACTTTTGACACATCTTTTGGAGCACATGTGGAATGTATATTGTAAAAGTGAAATTACATGTAAAAAAAGTTTTATATGTTAATGTTTTGTAAAACTCCAATGATTCTTCCTGATGCCCCATGAAAATAAATCTCTTATCAATAGATGCACTTAATTGTTAGTTGTTGCACATAACTTTCTAGTATGTGAAACCTCACTGCCTGTGATCTTCTTTAGAATGTTGCTAGTGGAGACCTGCTTTTGTTCTATTTGAAGCTGCACCTCAGTAAATATTAGTTGTCAAATTAATGGGATTAATAAATGGCCTTGTTTTTTCGGATTTGTAGTGTTATCTTTCAAATCAAAGTATGATAAGGTTATAAGATACAAAGTATTAGACTACTCGATAACAGACTAAATTCTACAGCTTCTGTTCTTTCTTTGCTCGTTATTTGCATATACCACTATGCTCCCTATATATACATAACTATTAGCAATCTGTAGATAACTTATGTAGGGCTTGGTTTAGTGATCAAGTGATTCTTACTATATTTTTCAGATGACAAATCTGGCGCAACTGATAGTAAAGGGCGTTCAGAATCTACTGTTGGACCTGGAATGCCCAATCCTTTTGAATTGAAAATTTAGAGCAATTGATAGTAAAGGGCTTTCAGAATCTACTGCTGGACCTGGAATGCCCAATCCCTTTGAATTATCAGCCATGTCTGGCCTCCTTAATGTAAACACTTACTACCTAAATTTTTCAACATAAATTATCCCCTCCATATTTATATTCAGATGTCTGCTATGATTGCATATGGCTTCCAAGTTCTCTTTGGACTTCTAAAGGTTAATTTTAGATCAGTAGGAAAGGTTAATCACTAGAACTACTTGACCTCTTTAACGTTTTGACTTCTTTTTTTCATTTTGAACTTGTGCAGTTGATACATGGAACCTGTCTTTTCTCACACCCCTAGGAATAAAAGACGGTCTGCAAAAAACAACAAGGAACATAGCATTGAATATTGTGCAGTTTTTCTATAAAGTTTGAATCAAGTGCAGATGGATGGATGAGTGTTGGCTTGGCGTTATGATGAATCAAGAGTATTTTGCACACGTTTATGAGTAGTAAGGACTAGGGAGTAGTATTACATAATACTGTCGTATGTTATCATGTTGTTTTGATTGAGTTCGTGAGGCTTTGCCATGTATTTGTGTGATAATTTTTTTAAGCTTTTAGCGATGATAAACTTATAACAAGATGGTAATTTGTATGGTATTCATTATGAATATTGGCAATTTATTATTTAATTCTTCTTGGAATTATGATATTGATTCGTGTTGATGCGAAACTTGGATGGCAGAAATGAATTGCTTCTTATTTTGTAAGCAAGAAATATTTTGGTAAAAATCAACTTTGTAACTTTAGTTAGTATTGTAAGACAAAAATAATGTGTCATTAATAGACTTTTTGCTACGGTTTGGAACCGCAACAATAAGTCAAAATTTGATTTTTTAAGAGAATATTACCCGAAATAGGACTAAAACGGTTTGAAAATTCCAAAATAGCACTGACATGTTTTTAATCCCAAAATAGGACTAATCACTGCCATGTTTTGGCAGTACCAGACTTCAAACATGACAGTATTTTCCAAATTTGGCAGTAATTACTCCTATTTTGGGAATAAAAAACATGGTAGTCCTATTTTGGAATTTTCAAATTGTTTTAGTCATATTTCGGGAACTTTCCCCTTTTTAAAATAGTTATTTGCTACGGTTCTGAACCGCAGTAAATAGGTTTTCCCACTATTTGCTGCCCTCCCAATTGATGCGGTTCATAACCGCAACAAATAGGCAAAAAAAAACCCGCCTCAAATAGCTATTATTCTAGTAGTGAGTGAAACTCAGTCCCATTATCACTCCGAACCATTTTAAGTTTTTGAGAAAATTGTCTGTCAATCATGGCAATGAAGTTCAAAAACACTTGAAAACTTCGATTTTGTCAATCATCAAGAAAACCCAAACAGCACGGGAATAGTCATCGACTAATGTCAAAAAATATCGTGCACCACAAGAAGAGGGTGTCTCGTACGGACCCCATAAATCACAATGTACCAAATCAAAAATACGAGTAGCTTTATTTTGACTTGAAGGAAAACTATCTCTGGAATGTTTAGCTTTATGACATATTTCACAACTTTTAATTGAATGTGTCGGACAAGTACCAACAATAGGAAGCAATTCTACTATGGTTGCAAAAGGATGCCCTAATCTTCGGTGCCAGAGTTCCAAAGACGAGGACTGAACGGAAGAAATAGCTTGAACAGTGGGTTGATGACGAAGGTAATAAAGTCCATCTCGCCTCTCACCCGCTCCAATCGGCTCCCTCAAATGTTGGCCCTGTATAACACACATGTTATCATTAAAAATGACAATACATTTTAATTCATCAATAAGCTGGGTCACAGAAATCAGATTGCAATTCAGTTGAGGCACATATAGCACATGATTCAGATCAATCTGGTCAGTTAGGCTGACTGTGCCCTCATGTTTGGCCAGAACAGTCTGACCGTCAGGGAGACCCACTGGGCATACTCGAATTTGCTGAATATTACTCCCCCCGTCCCGCAAAGATTTTCCCGTTCACTATTCATTGGTCAACTTAGGTCACTCCTAATCTTTTACTTTATATATCGAATTTTTATCAAATTGAAATTTTCTTGATCAGGCTTTGTAGCGGTTTTAATGTACTTTCTGAATATGTAAATTTTATTTACTAAAAATAATGTGAGCATGAACATGGATCAAGTTGCTTTATCGTCAGTCAAGCATCGTAAACCGAACAGGGACATCTTTGCAGGACAGAGGGAGTACTTAAAACATCTCTGTCACCACAAACATGATGAGAGCACCCTGTATCAATAATCCAAGAGTTGATGATAGTCGTACCATTCAAGTGAGTTGTTGGAAGATTATTATTGTTACCAAAAGTGGACATGAGAGCTTTCCACTGGTCTGCACTAAACACTAGCGGAGAAGATGAATGCGCTAGTGAAGAGGCAGGTTTTGAAGTGGTGGCGTTAGCCCGTACTCCGCCGCGCCCATGTCCTGCAGCCTGCGTATATGTTCCCTTACTGCGATTAGGAACACGCTGTTTTTGTTCTTCTTTCTGTCCGTAGCGCTCAAGCCACCAATCCGGAGTTCCATGAAGAAAAAAAAAGTAGTGTTGTCATGCCTTGTTTTATGACAGTGAGAACAAATTCGGTTATGGGTATTTCTGATTTCTCCTCTTTATGCCGGACGATTCCTTGCACATGTTCTTCTTGAACCATCTGTTGAAAAGCACGATTCAGGGTAGGCAAAGGATCTTTGCTGAGCAGATTGGGTTGTAGTGAGCCGTAATACTCAGAATTCAATCCCATCACAAATTGATGCAAACGGTCTGATTCACACCGTTTCTCGTGCGCTTTGCCCAAGGTTGCATTTACAGCCTCCACAAGTGCAGGACAAGATGGGTTCATGATGGCTCAATTCGTCCCACAGAACCTTCAAGTGCCCAAAATACGTGGCAACGGACAAAGTTTTACTCTGTTGACAACGACTAATGTCTTATTTCAATTGGTGAATTCGTGGCCCATTAACAACAGGGAACCTTTCGTGCAGGTCATCCCATAGCAATTTTGCATTATCATAGAAGGAAAGCATGGATTTTACCTCCAGGCCGATGGTATTAGTCAACCAGGAGACTAGCATGTACTGGATTGTGGTCCAGTCGTCCTTGGTACACGTGGCCAGCTGAGAATTAATAGTGCCATCTAGAAATACATATTTCCGCCGAGCGCACATAGCAACGCGAATAGCATGAGCTCAGGCATCAAAGTTTCAAGGCGCAGACGTACGGGTGTGATGAAATCACCGGGTCTGCTTTGAGGACCCAAGAAAAACGGTGAGTTTGGTTCGATTTTGGGGGGTGGAGCTTCTTCGTCGCCGACAACCATGCTTGAGCTATCGATAGACACTTAAGGGTTGTTTACGGAGTCTCTGATACCATATCAAACAGAAATTCAGGCTTGGAGTTTTATTCAGCACATGGCAACTATTTATACAAAGAGAAGTTTACGTAAACTAGGAAAGAATAACTATGAATAATTATTTTCCTATAATAATTTTTTTGAAAGTCCTATAATAACTTGATAATCTTTAATGATAGAATATTTCCTTAACATTTTTCCCCGCTCAGGAATTCTCTTCTTATTCCCAAATCTTTTAGTTTCCGACAGTAGCTTTTATGTTCTATGAGAACACGTTGAGGAGTACAGTCCCTTCTTCCGTTGGCAGCTTCATTTTTTCCATGTTTTTCTTTTCTTTCACTCCTCTTGTAGAAGAAACACTACAGTAAGCCGTAAAGGCAAATAGAAGCAGAATCTAGAAATTTTTCTAACTCTTGATGCGATGCCATGGATTGTCTTTTTCGAGAGGAAATAGTGATACTGGTATCTGGAGCTCCTATACTATACACCCGGATGTAGGTACATCCGACCCAATTAAAGAGAGAGTCCAATTAAATTATGAAGCCCATAAGAAAAGGCCCAATGTTGTCTCACCGCCAACGTACTTGAGCTGGCCGTCCGACGGGCATGGGAGATCCGTTGCAACTACCAGATGGCATATACGAACTATGGAAGTTGGAGCATGCAACTACCAAGTGGCAGATGCGGCCATCTTGAATTTTAGCGCGAGCATGCCTATAAAACCAAACCGGATTGCAGATTGAGCTTTCAATTGCTTTCCGATTTCAAACTTGCTTTAGGGATATGGGGGTTAGTTGATTCATGGAAGAAGCGTTCAAGTGGGGCTGCAGGCGGTTACTCATACCAAACTCACTCACATATTAATTCTCACTCGTAAGGGTTAAATTCAATGAATGGATCTTATCGAAATTTACAAAACAGACTAAACTTGAAAAGAGTGAACAAGCTCGAGCATAGATAACTAACAATGGGGAACAAGCTCGAGCACAAATAATTAATAATGGGGAACATGAGATCAATCGCTTCTCTCCTCGATTGAAGTTTCTCCTCGATGAGACCAAAACAATGGAGAATTTGTCTGAATTTAATGTAATATTTCTGTTAAATGAGCATTTGTAATTTAAGAGAAAAACTACGGCTTTCGCTAAATAAGCATTTGTGTACTTGTAGTGAGCATCTGACCTATTCTACTGAGTATTAAGAGCCTAACAATGAACATCACGATCTCTGCTTCATATATTCTAATTCACTTTCTATTTCTTATTTTTTTTAATAAAAACTTATTAGTTTATATCGATATTCCACTCTTATAGATTTCAATATGTGAATTTAATGTAATATGCTAGTTTTAAAATATGCATTGATATGACAATTTAGAAATGAGTATAAAATATGTGCCAAATGAGCAAATTAAACTTACAAAATGCGCATTGATATGAAAATTGTCAGGTTTGTTAGTTGAGTAACACGACACTTTCATTGAACATCAAACATTCTCTCTTGAGATGAAAATTACAGTTTCTATTAAATGAGCATTTGTGAAATTGTAATGAGCAACAAACCTATCTTGTTGAGTATTATGAATCTAATGTTGAACATCGTGATTCATAACTTTTTATTCACTTTTTTTTTTGTTATTTTTGCTTTTATAAAAATTTCTTAAATTATATTTATAATCAACTCTTATGAATTTCAATATGTGAATCAATGGTACCTTTGAAACATGAATTATATGACATTTTAAAATGAGCATAACATCTATACCAAATGAGCATACATAACTTACAAAGTGCACATTGATATGATAATCGTAAGATTTGTTAGTTGAACATCGCGACATTTCAATTGAGCATCAAACCTCCGCTATTGAAATGAAATTTGTGGTTTCTAGTGAATGAGTATTAATGAACTTTTAATGAGCATCATACCAATTCTGTTGAGTATTAGAAGTCTAATATTGAGAATCGTGATCTCCGCTTCATAACTTCTAATTCACTTTCTTTTTGTTATTTTTTCTTTTATAAAATCTTAATAAATTCATAATTCCTATGAATTTCAATATGTCAATTAATGCAAAATAGTACTTTAAAAAATGCATTGATATGACATTTAGAAAATGAGCATAAGACCACTACCAAATGAGCATACGTAACTTACAAAATGTTCATTGATAAGAAAATCGTAAGGTTTGTTAGTTTGACATATTGACATTTTCATGAGCATCAAACATCCTATATTGAGATGAAAATCAAAATATCTGTTAAATGAACATTAATGAACTTTTAATGTGCATCGGACTT